GGGGGGGGGGGGCAGCTGCCCCCCCTGGGATTTGAAGAGCAAAAAAAATAATTGCAAAGGTAAAAAAAAAATAATTGCAAAGTTGGTATCAAATCTGTGAGAAAATGCACTCATGGCCACTAGACAATCATTCAACAATCTGTTTACAAAGGTGTACTGTTTTTAGTCAAGGAGTTATAACTCCTTGTTTTAGTCAACTCAGTTCATGCCAAAAAGTCCAATTGGCGTGTTGTGTTGAAAAAATGACTGTACTTATGGCAAAATGAACCCACAATTTCTGACTTCTGATTGAGCAATAAATAACAGTTAAAATGCATCAGAATGCAGTATTATACATACAGTTCTTAAAAAAATTCCACACCGTGGGAGGGGGACACCCCCTCCCACACCCTTCCCCCTCGGGGGCTTTGCCCCCTCGTGTCCGCTTACTGCCCCCACCCTGGCATTTTGCTCAGGCTACGGCCCTGAGTGTGTATAGTTTGAACAGTCTTCACGTGGTGAAATCACGAAGTTTAAATGAGTACATACATGAATTTTACTTACCCAACTGCTATTATTGTTTACTGGTGTCAGGTGATTGCTATCTGGAGGTCTAGGAATGGGTTGCGGACCTCAGAAGCACTATCATGTAACTGAATATATCTTTTGTCGATGCATTTTTGTTTACTGCTTTAGATTCTGTGGCTTTTGCGTGTACAACATAAAAGACGAATCGGTTTTTTTGATGAACGATTTTCGACGAGTTGACTTTGAACCAAAATTGTTAAATTAATTCTATTGCCGCTACAAAGGGGAAAGGCATATATATAGTCGTCCTGGCATTTCCCTCAATTTATGAAAATCCACGTACAACATGCTTTGTATCCCAAAGGTGGAATGTACTTAGTTTGCATTTGATTTTACGGGGGTAGATGTACTTTTATCCTTCTGATAAAAGGCGGTGTTTGTTCGCAGTCCGACAGACTCAGCAGCTTTCCTTTGGACCTTCGAAACCTTATAAAATATGCTACGGCGAATCATTTTAAAAAACAACCGAGATCTTTTAGAGTCAGTAGCCTTCTACTGGTCGCGCGTTAAAGTTTTGAACACTTTTAGCCGTAGAAAAATAGGTTCGCTGCGGTCTGTGGAGGATAAGTTCTTGAATGAAATTAAAATGTTCAAGGAAATTCCAGGACCCACTTTAAACGAACAGTTGTGCTGGGCAGTGAATCATAGTAAGTAACCCAATGCTAATGCCATTTGATTAAATAACATATCTTAAGCGTCCTCTTGATTCATATTTATTTTCTGTGTAATATTATTTTCCTCAATCTGCCGTTAAAACGGTTTAGGCCCGGTTTACACGATGACTCTTGGAAGTTGGAAGAATTCAATACCATTGTAGATGGGTCGACCCTTTCGGACCTCTTCCACGTGGCATATGGTTAATCTTTGCTCACCATTGACTACAAGGAAAAGTGATTTCTCTTTTCTTCAGCCTTCCCAGTACTGTTTCACAATGTCTGTATTTTTAGACCACAATTTCCGACAATTTTGAACCAAAATAAACCAGTAGTTATCCAACATTAAATGAAATAGCACTGAAGTTTCGGACAAAAACTTACTTTTTTTGAGTGGACAACTATGGATTTAGTTAAAACTTAAAATATTAAATAGATCAAAATTTAGGGGTCTAAAAGTGAAGAACTTATTTATAAGGGCGCCTGGCCGTGGCATGCTGCGAAAAAAGTGAATACACATATTAGTTAGTGCACTGTGTACAGAGCTCAAAGAGAGTGGTCGTACTATCTGCAATTTGTGGACATGATCGAACTCGCGAAACATACTCTCAAGACGCACCGTGCGAACCTGTCAAATATCAAAAGTTTGATATGGATCGACAAATGCTGTCATTTCAGGTTTTCAAAACCCAAGAGAAAAACTTACCGAGTGCCGTCGTCGTTATGGTAACATTTTCCGCTTTTCCTTCGGGCCCTTTCACGTCGTTCACTTATTAAATCCGTCAGATGTAGCAACTTTACTCAGAAACGAAGGGAAATACCCAAATCGCGGGGGGCTACCGCTTTTGAATGTTCTCCATAGAAGAATGGATACAAACGACGACAGCTTAGCAGAAAGGTATGGGCTGAACTTATTTGAAAAGATATTTGGACAAAACTATGACAAAAAGTATGAGAAAAATGTATGATTTGAGAAAAGTTGCTTATTAAAGTACTCATTCATTACAACTCTTTTCTCTGTGTTAAGGCGAGGCCAGCATTGGTGGGACTTGCGTAGGAAGTTGCAACAGGTAATGCTCAACCCAGCCTCAGGAGCGAATTTTTTATATGTTCAAGACCGCGTGGTTGAGGACTTCTTGGATCATTTAGAGGCTGTCAAAGATAAAGATGGCTACGTAGAAAATATTCAAACGGAGTTATTTTCCCTCTCATTAGAAGGTACAAGTCATTTTTTTCTATTTGAAAATCGGGGGCGTCTCGATAGTCCGAAGGTTCATTGGTCCGAAAAATCGTATCATTTTCATTAGTCTATTAATCAAGGGTTCGTTGGTCTGAAAGTTCTATGGTGAAGATTCGGACCAATGAACCTTCGGACTATTGAATCTTTGGACTATTGCTACGGCCCCCTTAAATCCATTTTCTTGAGTATATTTGAAAATTTGAACCACCAAATCGATTTCATTTTTTTCAAATAGAAATAAGGTTTTAAAAATGTTAACGCCAGTGGAAGTATAGACACTTTCCAATGCTGGGATTCCTTAAGATGTATTTCACTGATAAAATGTACCCTAGAGTAGGGATCAGAACTAGATTTTACATTCTTCTTCCTCTAATTTGAGCAACGTCCGCATTAGGTTCTATATAATCCGGTACTTAAGCTTGTCTCAGAACCGTTTTCTAAGACTTGATGCCACTATCTTGTATTTCCTTTATTCATTTTTAGTTTTAGGGGAGATATGTTATGGCACCAGACTTAACAGTTTCCAAAATGGCATCCCAGAAGTAAGATCTGCACTGAAGACAACGTTTGATTGCCTTAACGAGTCGCTGAGAGGCATACCAACTTTTCTTCTCTTTCGAACCCCAATGTACCAACGCTTTGAGGATGCGACCAAAACACTGCAAACGTATGCACTAGAGCTTTAGAGCACTTGTATTATGGCAACTTAAAGTACATGCACCTCTATCCAACATGCTCACCCGTTACCAAAACTGCGTAGATATGCTTTATACATGTAGTTTGGAGGAGTTTACATCTAACTATGAAAATAAGTGTGTTGCTTGATAATAAATTAAGGTTGAAAATCCATGAAAATCAAGCTAGTTGCATCCTGAGCTTCAGAGATAACTTGACACTGACCTCTTCACTATAGCCTATCTTCATCGTGTCAAGTAACTTGACACGATGTTACTTGACACGATGAAGATAGGCTATATAGTGAAGAGGTTAGTGTCAAGTTATCTCTGAAGCTCAGGGTGGCTAGTGGGGACTGGCATGCGGCAAATGTACAAGTAGTGAAAACCTTTTTACAATATGACCCATAAGTAGGTCATGCATGCATGTACTGTTTTTCATGGTTTTAACGCCATAATTCTAAAATGAGAAAAATTATAAAAGGGACCCCTGTGGAGGCTAATACATCATTTAGTTTACTTGCCGTTTTAAAATTATGATAATATTTAAATATTCATGATTATAACCCCCCCCCCCAAAAAAAAATTACTTTTGCATAAATTGACTTCTTTAGAAATATTCTTCTTGCATTAGATTCAACATATACTAAATAAATTTGACAATTTTAAAACAAGGTTTAGCGATTGTATTATATCATTTCTTTATAGGTTCTATACTCAGAATTTCGAATCTTGTCTCCAGCGCTCAAAAGAATCCTCAGAGTTCAAGAACATCATCCCCAATCTCTTGCTGAATCACAAAAATATTTCCTTGAAGGAGTTATGTTCTACAATTTCGTCCTTATTCACTGCAGGGACTGAGTCGGTAAGTATTTACCGGTACATAGCAGAAACAAATGATGGATCATGTATTACCATCACAACCATAATGCTTCAGTGTTGTCGATTTTTATAATGAAAGTTATTGTACAGATTAGACTGCTCCTTTAAATGCTTTCTTCTTTAATATACACACTAAGATTTTTCTAACAATTTTTCAGACGACTAACACATTGTCGTTTGCTTTGTATCACTTGGCATCACATCCGGAAAAACAAGAAAAGCTTTGGCATGAAATCAACCGATTTGTTCCCGAGTTTCCTACGGCCAAACAGTCTGAACTAGTTAAACCACCATATCTCACAGCCTGCGTGAAAGAATCTTTTAGGTAAGAAAAAAGACAATTTTCAAGTATCAAATTGTCGTCCAGTTTTTGTTTGACCGCTTGCTATTTGAAAAAGGTGAATAACATGCCCCCAATTCACCCCTTTATGCGAGTGCCAATACAGAAAATTCTCTTGTACCCTCTAGATATTGTTGTCTAAATGCCCTCTACAACAGGGGTGGATCCAGAGATATCTTCTGACAGGCTTCCGAATTATCTTTATTGATCAATCCTCCATTTTGACCGTCTTCCGACAGAAAAAAAGATATCCGTCAATGTAAACTTGAAAATCTGGCCGTCTTCCGGAAGACCCGGAAGACAGCCTAAATCCGCCCCTGTACAAAGCCCACACCCCACCCTCCACCGTATGTTTGTGTTTGAAATACTCCAGTAGATCAACTTATAGAATAGTTATTAACAACACTTACATGAAAAACGGACACAGAAGTCGGGAGTTGCATGTTTTATTATTTCTACTGGTACTTCGAGGCACCGATTTTTTAACAAATATAGAGCACACTTCATTTTTATTTTCAGGATGGTTTATCCTACACTTGCCGGTCCACATCGAATTCTGGATCGAGATATAAACATTAGTGGTTACTGCATTCCTAAAGGGGTTAGCTCCTCAGCTATTTTAGCTTTTTCTTCCCAAACAGCCAACTTAAATGATAATAAAAACCATCATCTCTTTACTCACTAAAAAATTTATCGCTTCGCGATTGACCATCTTCACCGTTTTGGGAAATATTCCTAAATGCTTGGACATAATAGCGTTATTATGTCCAAGCTTTATGTGTCGTGTACTCGTACTAATTTTTTTCTAGAACTCCATTCTAAAATGGTTTATGATCTTGTATAAAAGACACTGATTTATTTAGAGATATTCAACGTATACACACTTCCCTTTCTCAGGTTCATGTCGTCTGCCAAAATGCCCTAATGTGCCGCATGGAGGAATATTTTGAGAACGCAGACGATTATGTTCCAGAACGATGGCTTAGACGCCATAACCCACCCTCTGCGAAGTTCTCCCATGGCGAGACAGTTGACATGCGACCGTTCGTTGTTCTTCCTTTTGGGCACGGGCTTCGTAGTTGTATTGGCAGAAGATTTGCAGAACAGCAGATCTATTTGGTGATTGCTAAGGTATTGCATGTTGACCAGTACCATCCCATTTATATCGGTAAAACAGTGACCCTATGCCTTTCACTAACTTACATTACCTCTAGTTCGTGAAGGCTCTGTAGTAGGAGGAATAGTGGTCAACCTCAATGTATGCGTGAACTAGTAAATACACAAAAGCAAAATACAATTGCTACGAATAAAGATCCTCAAAATGTAAACAACTCTTTAACCGCGTTTTTACTGCACTTAATTACATGTAGGCTACAGGACCAATAATGTATAGATTTGTGCAAAAGAAGATGTTCATATTTGTGTAGGCTACAATTCAAGCCAAACTCACCGTTATACATTTGTTGAGTAAGCGCAACAAGTTTTGCATATCATTTACTTTAACTATGCTATGCAATTAAATTACGAGAACAAGATCATGTGCACTCTCTTTACGACAAACGTTCCAGTTATTATAACTTATAATGTGATACTATACGTGGTATACATACACACACGGCGTCTCTAATGTGCGTGTATCTCTTTTCAGATGTTACAACGCTACAAATTGGTTTATGATGGGGAAGAGATTTTGGTGAAGGAGAAGATCTTTACTGCCCCAGATCGTCCAATTAGGCTGAAACTTGTCCCCAGATGACAATTTTAATAGTTAAATGTTAAAACACGATAAATTTAAACGGAACTTTTTAAAAACAGCCTTTTGATTATTCGTCAATTAAATCGTTTTTGATTAAACATCCATTGTACCTTAAATGTCCTTGCAATCTACGTTTAAACTAGTTGATTTCTGGGACTTAATCCATGCCATCAATTAAAATGTTTATTTTAAAAAAGATTTTCTAATTCTTGTTAGTGGAACTTTAACAAAGCAGCAAAGCTGCCAAATGGATAGACAGTTAAAATACTATATACTTATATTAATCATATATTAATATAATCATATATATTATATTATAAATAGGCACATAGTTTGAGAACCACGGAAATTTAAGTCAAACCTAGAAAATGCTGAATTGTAAAAAAATGGAAAATTTCAAAAAAGAAAAAAAAAAAAAAAAAACTTCATATATAACAGGGAAAATTATCCAATTTGTTTGCTTTTCAAACTTGAGCCCTATTTCAGCCCACAAATGTACTTATGCAAATTGCACGGTACATTTGATAGATTAAATACAATTATACATGATTCATTGATTTAACTTTTCATTCACTGCCATTCACCCTGAGCTTCAGAGATAACTTGACACTAACTTCTTCACTATAGCCTATCTTCATCGTGTCAAGTTACTTGACAGGATGAAGATAGGCTATAGTGAAGAGGAAGCTCAGGGTGCTGCCATTCTACTCTCTTCCAGATCATTTAACAAAAATATAATACCAATATAATTTAAAATAAAATATTGTACCATTTTTGAGTCAAAAAATATTTTGGATTTCTCAGATAATTTACCAGAGAAGCAATCACGTCGATATGATTGCTTACTAATTGGCCTCCACCCCCCCCCCCCCCCAAACACTCCCCTCCACAGATACTAGTATTGTTCAACTCCAGATATTGACTGGTTGATAAATTATGATATCAGAGGGATTGAATAATCACGTTCGTACTTATCTACTGCTTAAAGTTAGCGCTGACATTGCTTTAGTTCATACTTAAAAAAACAAAAAAGTGCCACAGTGAGGTACAATTTTTAATAGACTACCAGTGGGAATATTCAAACTTTCAAAGGCATAATATCTGTGTGAGGCACGTGTACATGTAGTTGCATCACGCAAAGCGTTATCCTGCATATTTTCCTATATATTTACATACTTTGGTGTGACATTGAACCCATTTTGAAGTAGATCTAGTAAGAAGAGCACGAAATTATTAAATTTTATCACTGAAATTTTAGTAAAGTTGATACTGCGCAATAGCTTACTGCGCAGGAAGTGAGGAAGGACCAGCACTGGGCTCTGGATTGATTGAGTGCACAAATTTGATATTTATAACCGCGATGGTGCATAAGCATTGTGCTTATGGCACTTGCAAAAGTGACTCTAGGCACGCTGACAAGTCGTACATGGCAGGTGTTTTTTTCTTGCCTTTTCCTAAGCAAAAAACTAATTTCGAGAAATGCAAGCGGTGGGTTCACTTATGTGGAAGGCCTATGGAGCAATTCAACATGGACAAGATTTCCAAATACACCTACATGTGTAGCAAACATTTTGTGGGTGGAAACGGACCCACAGAGGAATATCCTGACCCAATATCGGCGCTAGCGTGTCCAGAACAAGTGAGTACAGAAATAATACAAGTACCTTCTCCACAGAGATTCCTGAATAAAACTACTGTTACTGATACTCTGAGTCGTGTGCAACATATGAATTGACATTTTGGCATATTGTTGTATATTGTCAGTATTTATTTATTTATGAAATAGAAATTGCTAATACTCCATAGATATTTCTAAAATTTTGTTATATTTGACATACGGGCTGGTTTTGTACTTCATTTCAGGTATCCAAGATTAACCGCCGACAGAGAAAAGGCCCCAAGCAGAGAACAGCAAAACGACACGAAAAGAAAAGTGTAAAGTGTTCCAGATATAAAACGGGTATAATTTAGGCTATTTTTTTAAAGTAATGTTTTAACTTGTTGATGCTCTTCACTTAATAACCATGACTTGTACAAAGACTGTTATTGAATCTGTATTGTGAACATCTTAATGGTATAAACTGTATTCTAGGTGGATCCCTGTTTGTAAGTTATCAAATAATTATTTAAAGTTATTGGATATTCGAAAGATGGCAGTGCCATGATTCCATCAACATTTGCATGGGAGCACCAATGCAATGTAGGGATCCTCCTTAAACAAATAGAATGATACTGATATTCAAATATCACTGTAAGTTATGGTAGTGTGTATAGTATGTAGTGTACAGCACCAAAATGTTTAACTGTTCAATTTATACACATGTACTCCGATTTTCACTGACCTTTCTTGTCTGCAGATTAAATCTGCAGATAATTATTGAGGCTTTTATCTAAAAGCATTTAAAGGTATTTAATATTTATAAAAACAATTTATTTTACATGGAAGTAAGAGAGGTTTGCCAGACTGAGAAAATGGATGATGTAGCCACTGATGACCAAGATACTGCAGAATTTTTGAATGCACCACACTGTGAAGCAGAAGCAGCTGTTACTTGTCATTCTGAAAGGAGTGCAGAGATAACAAAGATAGAGGAAAAGGAAAAATGTTTCCAAGTGATTGACTCAAGTATGAACTCCCAAATATAAAATAATCATAAAAAATCTTTATGTTCATATCCATGGGATTTGCACTCCCATGAAAAAAATGCCATACTTAATATTTAGTCAGCATACCATTTCACCCAATATTTTTCCATCAAACTTTCAAATATTTCCAATGTATTCTCCAAAAAGTATACTAAAGGAAAGATGTTGAATGATTCCCAAATATCAAAGAAATAGTTTTTTCTTAGGGGAGTCATTGGGTAGTAAAATACACATTTTTAATTTTATTTTCTCATGAAAATTTTTACTTGCATAGTAACAAAAAGTGCCAATGTATCCTCCATCATACTACTAGATAAAAGTCATATACTCACTTAAAATAAGATTAATGAAGTTTTGTGAGGAGAGTCAAATAATTCTTTGGAGGGGGGGGGGGGAATTTCATGATGAGTCACCCTTTAGGGCAGTCAGATTTTCATGACACAGTGGCATGCTTTGAATTATATATGTACAGGCCAGGTGAATTCAAATAATTATTACATGATAGAATGACTTCATTTTCTTCAAAGCAAATTAAATTAAGAACCATTTCCTTCATAGTTTTCTCTTTTTAATCAATTCAGGTTCTCAGTTTGAATTAGATAAAGAAGGGACCCCATCTCAAGAAAAGGTCATCAGGCCCTTGGAGCAATTCCTGGAATCGGGGATAGGGATAAACATTGGTCAGCAATTGCCAAGATGGAATGCTTTAAAAGATAGACTACAGTTGGAAACAAATGAAAGCCTGGCAAAACATTTGATGGACTAGTAAGTTTCACCATTAAAATAAGTTATCTTGAGCTTTATCAATGTCTGGTTTAATATGACAATTTGTATATTAGAACCAGGCCCATAGCCAGCAATTTCACTGGGGGAGGGGGGTCTTTTTCTGAAAAGTGGATCATTTACCATATAGATATAAGTAGGTCAATTTTCAACCAGAAATTAGAAAGAGGTGCTGTTTTAAAGCTATTTTTTTGGCTGATCGAGGGATTACTTTATTTTGCAACTTGGCAGGTCAAGTTTATTTTAGTCATATAAGAAACTAGTAGAATGGATTCAGGGGCGGATCCAGAGATATTTTCTGACAGTCTTCCAAATCATCTTTGTTGATCCATCTACTATTTTTGACTGTCTTCCGACAGAAAGAATTAGATACCCCTCAATGTAAACTTAAAAACCTGACCGTCTTCCGGAAGACACAGAAGACCGCCTAAATCCGCCCCTGGGATTAATGTGTTATACTGAATCCACACTTGCATCAAATTAACCTTTAATTTTAATGGAAATTAAGATTAAGAACCAAGAAAAACAAAAACAATTAAGTTGTATCTTTATGATACTGTTGATAAATGAATATATAACTTTTACTTAAGTTTTCTATTTCAGCTACTGCAAAGGTGGTACCAATATTCTTCATCCAGTTATTACTGACACCAAAGGGGTGCACAGTTTAACACATTACAATTACAATTCTCAAAGTAAATTGTACGCCAGAAGACAGCAAGAGACAGAGCAGGATACTTTCATTTCTGAAACAGTCACTGACACTGGAAGACAGCAAGATTCAGATCATAGTAACTCTATTGTTCAGGCTGACTCAGGCAATACAAGGGAGCAAGATTCAGTTCACAGTAATTCCATTATTCACGCTGTCTCTGACACGAAAAGAGAGCAATATTCAGATCACAGTAATACTTTGACTCAAGTTGTCTCTGAAACCAAAGGACAGCAAGAGGCATCTGCAAATACACAGATCATACCAAAAACAAAAACTGACCAAAACGCATCAATTAAACAGGTTGATTCTAGTGGAGTTAAAGTTGCAGGAAAGAAATACTTAGTCATCTTGACTAATTCTAAGCATCCTAATCCAACATGTTTATTAATTCCAGTCCAAAAAAGGGAGCTGATGCTTAACAAAGATGTGGATTCAAAAAGTCCTCATGTTGTTTCTACTCAACCAAATGTTATTCATAGTGAAATACCAACCAAGACAGCAGCCAATAAGATGACCATAACATCAAGTGTTTCTTCCAATACAGTTCTAACAAGCTCTTTGGGTTCTACTCATAGAGGACATCTCTTGTCAGATCAAGAAAATGCACTTGTTGTTGGCACTATTGCCTCTGAGCCACATATTACTGTGAAAAACAAAATTGCAACTAAGCATACTTATGAAGAACCAGAAAAAATGTCTAGTGACATTTCTATATTGAAAGCAAAGAAATCTAATATAAAAATCAAAAAAGAGATGGATCAAAAGGAACATGGAAATGGGTCTTTCATCTGTGAGACTTGTGGGAAGAGTTTTGGTTCCTTTGTGCGTCTCCGTTTACACAACATCATGCACAAAGATGTTTCAGAAATATATAGATGTAAAATGTGTAATTGTCTGGTTTACGAAAAGGAACGTGAGGCTCATGAATGGACTCATACAAAACCGAGAGAGCCAAAAGTGTACATCTGCCAGTACTGTGGTCAAGACTTTCCTACGATGTATAGAATTACTCTTCATGAAAGATCTCATTTAGGTGAGAAGCCACATGTTTGTAAGATTTGTGGAAAGACATTCGCTAAAAGGGGAAGTTTAGTACTGCATGAAATGACCCATACTGGAGAAAGGCCACATAAATGCCGATTCTGTGAGAGAAGCTTTGTGCAGAAGACTGCTGCTGTTAACCATGAACGAGTTCACACAGGAGAAAGACCATTCAAGTGTAGATTCTGCAGAAAAGGGTTTACACAATCTGGTACACGTAACAGCCACGAGAGGATCCACACCAATGTTAGGACTTTCAACTGCCATTCTTGCTGGAAAGTTTTCGCTTACGAGAAAGATCTTAAAAGACATGAAGCTATTCACAAGAGCTAAATGTTTAAATTATAAAGTGAATTTACTACTAGTAATACTATGAATTGTTTTCGCACAAGGTGCAATTTGCATGAACAAATTCATGAATCTTATTTTTATTTTATTCATTTAATTTGATATACATATTGAATATATTTAAATGCCAACAAATCACTTGATAAAATGATATGTACCTTAAATGTATATGAATTGGCTAATATGTAGGTATTTGGGAATTGCACAGTGCTGTATGTGAGAAGTGTTTTCAAGTTTTTTATTCAATAAAAATAAAGGAAGCTCTTCATTGAGTATCATATATAATATTGCTTTGGGAGTTTTGCATAAGTGTGTTATAGGTGTTAAAAATTATACATTAATAGGTCATGTACACTTTGCTTTGATCTTGAAACCAAGAAAAAAAAAATATATATATATATATATACAGCTGTTTCGGCCCGGAGGCCTCGTCAGGGGCCCAAACAGATCAAAATACAAAAGAAGACTAACTTCAAATGGTTGATGCAAAACATCGCACAAAAAAATATGCATGTGATGTTAGCACCACATCGCACATACAGGTAACAAAGGAATGCTGTTACGTTACATTATAAATGACTGTGGTTTTGAGACAAATATATAAGTAACTTTGGAAAATCGGTGCGTATAATCCATGTTTTTCAGCAAGTTTTTTCTGGAATGTCGGCATTTACTGACGAGTTCATTTTTTGAGTTCAGTGTTTTCTGTCCTTCCGCAGTAATGATGTTAAACTTTTCCCATAGGCAGAGCTAACACCGTTTGGTTGTGTTTGAATATGGTCTACTTTCCTTAGTATTGACTACTTCAGTTCATAGTTGATTTTTTTTCCTTAAGAGTCCAAATATAGTTGCTTAATGAGGTATGGTGGTGTTTGGATAAGCAGTTGAAAGAGGTCTTGTGGTTTTTGTATCTATACTTCATTTTATTGATCATAGCAAGCTTACAAATCCATGGCTACAAAGCACCATGAGCATTTAATTTTTAAGTTTCATCTAATTGAAATTACTATGTCAATCATTTTCTTAGAGATGTAGTTTAGGTAAATACAACACTGACTCTTTAAAACAACGCCTCAACAAAATATATCCATAGAACATAACGTATACAAACACAGATATTCCATGTAATTGAAAATCACAATGGGATGGAAAGAAAAAATATTATACAATCTGTGAAACATTTCCAGTGTCCATTTTCTTATCAATAATAACAAAGAATCACAGATAATGATTTCTCAAGTTCTAAATACATGTATATAACTTTAACTTGCATAGTTGAATGCTAAACTTTCATGCGTATGTACAATAGAAAAAATTATTCAAAAGATTAGTTTAAATTAACCTTTAAAACTCTGTTTAGTGGCACAATTTTTGAGCAACATTTTACTAATCCTGATAATTAATTGCATTTTCTTTGGCAGTTGATAAGGTAGTAAAAAGAATCCAACTCTATCTAAAAAGAATCCAACTCTATCTTGACATCAACATCACTAGCCAATATCACCAGCCTTTGACAGTTTTCCAAGTACCTACAATATTACCACCAGAGTGGACAATGTACTCAGGAAAGAGTGCTGCTGATGCACAAGACTGAAAATATAAATCAAGAAAGATAGAGGAAAAGGAAAAATGTTTCCAAGTGATTGATTCAAGTATGAACTCCCAAATATAAAGTAATCATAAAAAATCTTCATGTTCATACCCATGGGGTTTGCACTCCCATGAAGAAAAGGCCCTACTTAATATTTAGTCACCATACCATTTCACGGGGGTGTCTCGATAGTCCGAAGGTTCATTGGTCCGAAGGGGGGGCATAACAAGAACGAAATTTAAATTTAGATAGCCGACCAAATTCTCATGACATCGTTGTGTATGTTTCAATAGCAAATCAAAGAAGCTACATGAGCAAGGAGGATGCTGTTATAAAAGCAAAATAAGAGAAAAAGCAGAAAAAATGTCGAAATTACCCTCAAAATGGCTTCCATTTTTGTGGAATTTCGACCCTACATGTACCTCTATCGTACGGATAAAATTTAGTCCCAAAATATTACACGTCCCTATACTCCCGTTACCGATAGATACATAAAGGAAAAACTGAAAAAACGTCTTTTTAGATTTAAATACCGATAGATCCGATTTTTTACTGCTGTCCTATATATTTGCGTTCCTATAGATACGACGTCCTCATAAACCCACGTCCTTTAAATCCGCATACCTATAGATCCACGTATTTTAATATCCAAATACCGATAGATCCATTACAGGTATGCTTTTGCTCAAAATAGTTGGTATAGGCTACTACTCAACACATAAAATGCACTTCTTTAAAGTACACATATTTATCATTTTAGCAATTTATATTCTACTATATCGTTTTCACACAATACTCAGTGAAAGAACATAAAAAAAACATAAAAATGTGTCCTATATTTCACAACGCTTACTGTTCTAGCGTCAGAACACTGTTTAAAGCGTTCTCAAAATGTAACATTTGAACACGTAAAAAGTGTTCTGAATTTACATGTAAATGTGTTCTAAACAAAACAAAACAAAACAAAACAAAAAAAGAACATAAAAATGTGTTCTATATTTCACAACGCTCAGTGTTCTGGCGCCAGAAGACTGTTTAAAGCGTTCTCAACATGTAACATTTGCACACTTAAAATGTGTTCTGTTTCATGTTTACGACGCGTTCCCGAACTTTAGAGTGTGATAGACGTGTAGACGCGAACGTACATGTTTGTCTTGTTTGAAAACCTAATAAATATATAAATACATAAATAAATGAATAAATAATAAATATCAGGTTGTAATTAAGTCAGATCACTAAGTGGATCAGTATGTATTCGCAGCCAGACTATCACTCGAAAGCCTCATACCTGTATCACAAGTTGATATCGGCCTTTTAGCCGATGACGATGTCAAATAGATGTATCTAAAGATACGTGGGTTTATAGGAATCTGTTGGTTGATCTATCGGAACGTAAATTTAACGAGACGTAAATCTATTGAGACGTGTATGTATAGAGACGTATCTATCGGGACGAATATTTTATTGGGACGTTTATCTATATGGCAGACCCCCCTATTTAGGAACAGTTTGTTTAGGGTTTGAATGGATTATTGAAACAGGAAATACACCTACTGCAAACAGAATGTGCAAATGGTTATTTAAATAAAAATTTATTTGCAGTCACTGAAAAATGATCACAAAATTAGCGTACGTATAACTAACGTTACATGCCGCGTCCCACCCCAATGAAATTTTCATCTAATCCTATCTTTCCGTATTAAAACTCTTCAATCGTCCATATATACTCTGTCGGTTAGTTTGTGTCACGAAGCCCATGCTAATATCAGTTTTCTTAAGAATTTCACATTTCTTGCTCAACAAGGTCGATTTTTCTTCACCGCGTCCCAATGTACAGTAACTTTTGTTACGCTGAAACTTCAGAGATCGATTTTTATCAGACGACTTTAAAGGGATAATAACTCTTCGTCTGAGATCTATATTTTACAATAAAAACATTGTGAATAACTCATAGAAATATATAATATATTCTGTTTAATCACAAAAAAGGGCAGTTATAGCTATTATTCTGATATCTGAGCTTGTCTTTAGACCACGTGACCTCCATTGATGGCTCCATCTTAAGAGATTTTAACAAAATCCAAACTTTTTAGAAAAAAAACAGGGACTAACTTTGAATGTTAAAATGGATTCATTAACCATTGGTAAGTATAGGAAAATTGTTGTTTACTCCAGGAAAATTCATTTTTTTGCCGAAACGAAGAGTTATTATCCCTTTAAAATGCCGCCTGAAAATTATAGTCTACATCGATAGCGATCTTCTTCCATACTCACTAACTGATGACGTCTTACACACGAATGGCTTCTTTTGCATCAGCTCAAACTGGCGCGTGTCCTGATATGCAGTGACGCTGTCGAGACCAGATGCGGGGCACGCCTGTAATTTCCTAAATTACTATAAAGATCTAAAGGGACTGCTATAAAGATCTTCCTTGTATGAAGGTGAGAAATACTGTGTTTCGTTTCATTTTTCTTCAATTGTTTCAACATATCTATATGTGTATTGTTTAATTCTTACTGATTAGTAGGGTGACTTCGTCTGAACTTTCGTTTTTCGTATGTGTCCCTTGTTCATGTTTTCTTGTTCTCGAAAACTCAATAGTATTTATATTGAATGATATATTTTAGTTTTGTCTTAAATTAAGCTGCTACGCTGTATTCAGTGCGTTAAGAATTTCGGTGTGACTGAAATGCGCAATACACCGCAATACAGCGGAACACAGTGCAATACACTTCAAAAATCAAATCCAGTTGCAATTACACTAAAGAAATGACCATTCCCAGCAAAGTAGGGTGATATAAAAACAACCTATATTACTAGGTAAGTAATATCGTTGATATAAATTAACAAATCAGCAAGACTTTTATGTTGTCCGGTTGGCAGCCATGTTGGCGAGTGGCTCTTCTTGGATATATTACTGGCCAAGAGAGCTACTCGCCAACATTGCGGCTGACCAAAAAATGAAAAAATTGTCAAGTTGTATCAGCAATATTAATTACTATGTACTATATTTTGCTTTTATATCACCCTATTTTATTTGAGATTACTCTTTCCTGTGTTTACTTGCAACTGGACTTGTGTTATCAAGTGTATTGCGCTGTGTTCCGCTGTATTGCAGTGTATTGTGCATTTCAGTCACACCCTAAGAATTTAACCGTCTGTAAAAAACAGAAAAAATGAATTTATCGCGTCACTACCGGTACGTTACAGGGACACACTGAAGCACCGAAAAATGGGTGAAGAAAATGTGTCCCAGTAAACTAATGCGTGTTTGCTGTTCATAATGCACTGTACCTTGTTTGAATAAGCAACTCCAGATTATGAAGAAGTGCAGTAACTGTCTATATTATTAGATATATATAAACCAAAATGCTGTGAAAAGCATTGCAATGAGCATTAATTTATGCTGAGATATGTTTGATCACTTTTTTTTTCCACAGGACACAGTATGAATTTTACAAGTCCAAAAATCTTTTCACAGGTAGTATTTTTTTCATCACAAAGCTGAAGCCATACAAGCATACCCCCAATAATGGCTGAGGACAACTGTAGTTCAGGTAAGATTTCATGCTGCTTTCTTCTCCACCAGTACCAGTCTAAAGATCTACTTTTAGCTCTCCAGTGAGGGATGTGTACACACACACACACACACCACACACACACACACATATATATAACATTATATATAACATATTAATAACTGAATAAGATAAATGCAATATCCCCAGTTTAACTTGTGTTTCATGACTGTCTAGTTTTGCGTTATATTATAATATATATTATTCCTATCTATGACTGTTTTAGCAGAGCCTGACAAGACCCCACTCAAAGTTTCAGCCAGATTGTACGACAGAAAAAGGGGCATATACTCAGACATTGATAGCCAAACATCAGTGGCACCACTGGCCTCACCTGGGATGAGTGATAACATTACACCTTCTGCAAAGAGAATGCGCAGATATAGAGAGAAGTTACGGGCAAAGTTACAGTATGCCAAATACCTAGAAAAACAGAGAAAAAAGGCAAAAGAATACAGGGCTAACAGGTCTGAGGAACAGAAAAAAGCAGACAAGGAAAAGAGCAGGCTTCGGACACAGAAATACCGCCAGAAAAAAAAAGAGAAAGGAGAACCAGTAAATGCCAATCCAACTGTTAATACAAGAACGAAAGGAGAACCAGTAAGTGCCAATCCAACTGTTAATACAAGAACTTCGTTAGCAGCAAAGCGAAAAAAAGAAAGAGAAAGGAAAAGAAAATATAGAGCTGCTTTGACCCCTGAGAAGAGAGCTGCAATCAACTTGAAAAGATCATTACGGGGCAAGGAAAAGAGCAGGCTTCGGACACAGAAATACCACCAGAAAAAAAAAGAGAAAGGAGAACCAGTAAATGCCAATCCAACTGTTAATACAAGAACGAAAGGAGAACCAGTAAGTGCCAATCCAACTGTTAATACAAGAACTTCGTTAGCAGCAAAGCGAAAAAAAGAAAGAGAAAGGAAAAGAAAATATAGAGCTGCTTTGACCCCTGAGAAGAGAGCTGCAATCAACTTGAAAAGATCATTACGGGGCCACACTCCATTTGTTGTGAGCTATAAGGAGCGATCCTGCTTCTGTGAAGCATGTGTGACAGTTGAAGGTGAGTGTACTTGTAAACAAGTCCTTTGTTGGAGACTGGAAAGAAGACAGCTTGAAAGTCAACGGGAGGCAAAAATGAAAAGTGCTTGTTTTACAATATCCATAGTGTTAACCATAATAGTAAAACTATTTATTGTCATATTTATACATATAAGTATAAAATGAAAAGTTGAATATGGTCTGTCAAAATTAGATAAAATAAGATCAATTTTACTCTTTAAAAATATGTGCTGAAGAAAGATTAAAACCATCTGAGGGACCATTTCCACAAATATTTGGATCGATGTATCTCACTAAATTTCTATCAAACTAAATGGCTTAAAGGTCTGTCACACCTAGTAAAACTGTTACAGTTAGGGGGTAATTATCTTTACCCCTAGCTGATTCTGTAGGCATGACAGTCATTTAAGCCTCTTGAGCTGATAGCATGAACCCCCAGGGAGCTAGGTTGATCCAGATGGATCGATCTAAGTATAGGAATCCAGTCTTAAACTTGGGTTCCGTACCCATTTTTTGTTATCAGAGTAAAAAGATTCCTTGTATTATACACTCTGGAACATTCTTTAGATCAACTTTGTTCAGTGTGTTTCCCATGTAACAGAGTTATAGTAAAAAAAAAATATGTGCATCATTTCTCTGCTGGGGTAGCGCTAACACTCGCCAATTTAGCCAAATGCTAAAACTGACTGAAATTGGCTAAAGAAAAAGGGCTAGATTTGATATGTTTTAGCCAAATTATAACCATTTTGATAACAAATTGACAAAAGTGTGGTGATATGGCTTAGCGAAAAAAATTGCTAGCACTACCCCGACTCTGTGTTTGTCAATTCCAATTTAAAAGTGTGTGAGAGTGATGTTCCTCTCATGCTTGAAGTATGTGTGGTAAATAGCAAAAATATTGTTATTGTACCACCAGCGTAGGCGCTGGCNTTATTTACATGATTATAAAAAGTTTTTGTTCCCGCTTCACTAACTTTACCGTGTCAGACATATTCACCATTTTTATCAATAATGAAATGTGGATTGAATTCTTCAATTAAAGCATTGAGACAACACCCCCTTATGATTTAAACTAAAACTAAAAACATTCCATTAGATTTTCATTAGTTTTAGTGCTAAATATATCTCCCATGTAAGGCGTCTTGGATTTGGAGGGTATAGCTGTTCAACTCTCCTGTGTGCCCTGACAAGGGCATCTGCTGTTTCCCTTTTGATGAAATGATAAACTGTGATGGTGTAGCTGTCACATTGCAAAATTACAGCTTCCCAGAGAAAGTTTGAAATTTTCGGTAAAATTCAACATTTTGTAACCACTAGCAAAGAATGACAGTTCTACTTGATGGAATAACTTCATTTTCTTCAAAGCAAATAAATTAAGAACCATTTCCCTCATGCAGTTTTCTACTATTAATCAATTCAGGTTCTCAGTTTGAAGGTTCTCAGTTTGAAGGGACACCATCTCAAGAGAAGGTCATCAGGCCCTTGGAACAATTTCTGGAATCAGGGATAGGGATAAACATTGGTCAGCAATTGCCAAGGTGGAATGCTTTAAAAGATCAACTACAATTAGAAACAAATGAAAGCCTGGCAAAACATTTGATGGACTAGTAAGTTTCACCATTAAAATAAGTTATCTTGAACTTGATCAATGTCTGGTTTAATATGACAATTTGTAGGTCTATAGCCAGCAATTTCACAGGGGGGGGGGGTCTTTTTCTGAAAAGTGGATCATTTACAATGACATCTTCTTGTACCTTAATTTTAAATTAAAGTTCAATGATGATGCAAGTGATTTTTAATGGAAATTAAGATTAAGAATTAAGAAAAAAACAACATGAATAAATATAAAAGTTGTATCTTTATGATACTGTTGATAAATGAATATATAGCTTTAACTTATGTTTTCTATTTCAGCTACTGCAAAGGTGGTACCAATATTCATCATCCAGTTATATCTGACACCATCGGGGTGCACAGTTCAACACATTGCAGTTCCAATTCTCATAGTAAATTGTACCCCAGAAGACAGCAAGAGTCAGAGCAGAATACTTTCATTTCTGAAACAGTCACTGACACTGAAAGACGGCAAGATTTAGAACATAGTGACTCTATTATTCAAGCTGACTCAGGCACTACTTGGGAGCAAGATTCAGTTCACAGTAATTCCATTACTCACGCTGTCTCTGAAACGAAAAAAGAGCAAGATTCAGATCACAGTAATACTTTGACTCAAGTTGTCTCTGAAACCAAAGGACAGCAAGAGGCATCTACAAATACACAGATCATACCAAAAACAAAAACTGACCAAAACGCATCAATTAAACAGGTTGATTCTAGTGGAGTTAAAGTTGCAGGAAAGAAATACTTAGTCATCTTGTCTAATTCTAAGCATCCTAATCCAACATGGTTATTAAGTCCATGAATGGACTCATACAAAACCATGAGAGCCAAAAGTGTACATCTGCCAGTACTGTGGTCAAGACTTTCCTACCATGTATAGAATTGCTCTTCATGAAAGATCTCATTTAGGTGAGAAGCCACATGTTTGTAAGATTTGTGGAAAGACTTTCGCTACAAAGCGAAGTTTAGTAATGCATGAAATGACCCTTACTGGAGAAAGGCCACATAAATGCCGTTTATGTGAGAGAAGCTTTGTGCAGAAGCCTGCTGCTGTTAACCATGAATGAGTTCACACAGGAGAAAGACCATTCAAGTGTAGATTCTGCAGAAAAGGGTTTACGCAATCTAGTAACAGCCACGAGAGGATCCACACCAATGTTAGGACTTTCAACTGCCATTCTTGCTGGAAAGTTTTCGCTTACGAGAAAGATCTTAAAAGACATGAAGCTATTCACAAGAGCTAAATGTTTAAATTATATTTAGTGAATTTACTACTAGTAATACTATGAATTGTTTTCGCACAAGGTGCAATTTGCATGAACAAATTCATGAATCTTATTTTTATTTTATTTAATTTGATATACATATTGAATATATTTAAATGCCAACAAATCACTTGATAAAATAATATGTACCTAAAATGTATATGAATTGGCTAATATGTAGGTATTTGGGAATTGCACAGTGCTGTATGTGAGAAGTGTTTTTAAGTTTTTTATTCAATCAAAATAAAGGAAGCTCTTCAGTGAGTGTCATATATGATACTGCTTTGGGAGTTTTGCATAAGTGTGTTATAGGTGTTAAAGATTATACATTAATAGGTCATGTACACTTTGCTTTGATCTTGAAACCAAGAAAAAAAATTATATATATATATACAGCTGTTTCGGCCCGGAGGCCTCGTCAGGGGCGCAAACACATCAAAATATAAAAGAAGACTGACTTCAAATGGTCGATGCAAAACATCGCACAAAAAAATATGCATGTGATGTAAGCACCACATTGCGCGTACAGGTAACAAAGGAATGCTGTTACGTTACATTATAAATGACTGTGGTTTTGAGACAAATATAAAAGTAACTTTGGAAAATCGGTGCGTATAATCCATGTTTTTCAGCAAGTTTTTTCTGGAATGTCGGCATTTACTAACGAGTTCATTTTTTTAGTTCAGTGTTTTCTGTCCTTCCGCAGTTATGATGTTAAACTTTTCCCATAGGCAGAGCTAACACTGGTTGTGTTTGAATATGGTCGTGATTTCCTTAGTATTGACAACTTCAGTTCATAGTTGATTTTTTTGTCCTTAAGAGTCCAAATACAGTTGCTTAATGAGGTATGGTGGTGTTTGGATAAGCAGTTGAAAGAGGTCTTGTGGTTTTTGTATCTATACTTCATTTTATTGATCATAGCAAGCTTACAAATTCATGGGTACAAAGCACCATGAGCATTTAATTTTTAAGTTTCATCTAATTGAAATTACTATGTCAATCATTTTCTTAGAGATATAGATTAGGTAAATACAACACTGCCTTTTAAAAATATGTCCATAGAACATAATGTATACAAACAAATAGATATTCCATGTAATTGAAAATCACAATGGGACGGAAAGAAAAAATATACAATCTGTGAAACATTTTCAGTGTCCATTTTCTTATCAATAATAACAAAGAATCACAGATAATGATTTCTCAAGTTCTAAATATAGAACTTTAATTTGCATAGTTGAATGCTAAACTTTCATGCGTATGTATAATAGATAAAATTATTCAAAAGATTAGTTTAAATTAACCTTTAAAACCTCTCTTTAGTGGCACAATTTTTGAGCAATATTTTACTAATCATGATATTTAATTGCATTTCCCTTGGCAGTTGATAAGGTAGTAAAAAGAATTCATCTCTATCTTGACATCAACATCACTAGCCAATATCACCAGCCGTTGACAGTTTTCCAAGTACCCACAATATTACCACTAGAGTGGACAATGTACTCAGGAAAGAGAGCTGCTGATGCACAAGACTGAAAATATAAATCAAGAAAAAAATCTCATTGAATAAGGTGGCTGCAGGGATTTGTATACTCCAACAAGAGTATTTCTCTAGCACTCCAATGACTGAAGGGAGCTAGAGAATCTTAATTACTCCTTTTGTGTCACATACTCATTTGAGTATGAGATTAAAGCAGACAAGCCTAAAAGGGTTTGGAAGCAATTTTCTACTTTCTACCAAAATAAGACAGAAATAACAAACAAGGCAGCAAAGCTGTCAAATGTACAGACAAAAAACAGAAAATAAAGATGCAAAAAAAGGTCATTTTGTCAATTTTGATGCAATAATAAATAATGCTTATAATAGCACTGTCAGTCAACACTGAATTTTAATCATGCACAACAGGTAACATGGTCAAAAACAGGAGCGGACCCTGAGATATTTTCTGACAGTATTCCAAAGTATCTATGTTGATCCATCCTCCATTTTGATGGTCTTCCAACAGAAAAAAATAGATACCAGTCAATATAAACTTAATAACCTGTCTTCAAGAAGACCCAGAAGATGGTCTCAATCCATCCCTTCAATAAGATTACAGTTTCAGGACCATGAGAGACTATAGTCACATGATGAAAGTCTCAATATTTGAAAAATGATGACAGTGCATAAAATAATTTTATATAATGTTTAAAGACATAAAAAACAATACAATTGGTTATGTGGAAATACAGAAAATGTGCAGAGCCTTGAGCGGATGAGAGTTAAAAGTCACAAATGCAAGTGTTTGAGAAGAAATTGTAAAGGAAAACATAACAAAACTAGAAAACCACCGAGAGTGCAGACCTCTGCCAAGGCAGCAATTGTTGATTATTGTTGATTATTGATTGATTATTGAGCCAGACCACTACTAAAAACTAATCATTGTCCTCTTTGGCCCAATTCTGACAGTTCCTGAAAATTTCAGCAAAATCGGTCCATAACTTTTTGAGTTATGTTGATGACAGACAAACAGGGGTGAAAATATAACCTCCTAGGCAGAGCCCGAGGTAAATATAATTTCAATGAAGCTGCTATTCAAACTTTTAATCTTTGATTATATATATATATATATATATATATATATATATATATATATATATAATAACCTGCATAATTATCACTGCTTCCTTATTATTAATCTAGCAGAGAGCTTAACTTTTGGGAGTTTACAAGGAAATATCAACAAGTGTGCTTTATGTAATCTCCTTTAATGGCCTAT